AGGTACTGTTGGTTACCTAGAGCGACTACTGGACAGTGTGACTGCTAATCCTTCTGATGATTCTTTTCTAGAGTTGTGTCCTTCTCTTACAGTACATGCTGGTCAGCACACAGCTGCACACTCAGACAGACCTCTCTCGTGTCTCCTGAGTCTCTGTCCGCGTACTTCCTTCCTGTAACGCACAGGCCACTGAATTCCGGCTGCTTAGTCTCTCCAGACACTCCACCTCCCCTCATCGACTCACAGCCTCCACCAGGCTGTGGGTTCGCCTGTCTCACACCGCAGCCTAGGAACTCTGTCAGCCAGGAAACGAAAGCCACTGTGGGTTTCTTGCGTGCTTCCCTCCCCCGGTGACCGCTGGCTTTCACGATCTGCTATCCGATGCTTGCACTTGTTACTCACATAGCTTTGTCTATTTTTTAAATTTTTGTTTTAAAGAAAATAGTACAGATAAAAGAAAAACAGCAAACTACAAACAGAACAGTGCAAGGAAATTAAAAATGATACAGAGTTTCAAACCAAATGATAGGGATTAACAGTGCTTGTTATATTACATATTGTTATCTTCAACAAAGTTGCTCAAATTACAAGATGTAAGAATATCGATCAAATCGTTAAAGGGAATAAGAAAATAATAATTTAAAAGAACATTAGAGACAATACATAATGTACAATAGATAATAAGAAAGGGAAAGAAATTGCTCAAAGGAAGGAACAACTGGGATGAGTGAAAGAAGAAAAAGAAAGTACTAAAGCTTTGTCTATTTTTAAAAACATTCAGATGGGTGTGAGGGATGGAGGAAAATCTACTATTTGCTACCTCAAGTTTAAGTAATATTGTTTTCACTGAACGGTTGTTTTATTTAAACTTACTCATAAATACAGGTAAAGCTTTTCCACTCTAGGGTACTACCTGTTACAAACTGTCAGAAAAGATGAAGCAATGTAAACGTAGTTCTCATGTAAAATAATTTGTTTTATGCAGAGGGGAAGTTTAGATTGACAGAGCAGTGGCAATATACATGTGTGCATGTACATGTGTGTGCTTTGATTACCCATGTTCACGGCCAGAGTATTAAAGACACAGATACTGATGCTCAGGAAGGTCTTGATGCATCGAGTTGCCCAATCATCGCTGTAAGAGATACCATTTATGACACACGTTGCAGGTTTCCAGCAGGGCGCTCAGCACTGCATTTCTCATCTCAGTTAATGTTTCCCAAAGACACAGAATGAAACGCTCTCCCTTCTGTCTCCCATTCTGGTAGTGAGCGCATTAAAGCGTTAGAGACACCATCTTACCAGACTTCCTCGGACAGGAGGTGCCAGGCCTGGGACGAGAGCCCAGCCTGCCTGGCTCCCAGTCCGTATTGTAACCACTGCTCTACCCGGCATTGCCTGAGGTGGGCTTCCGAGTCCCCAGCTTCCTGAGAACTCCTTTTCTGTAAACGACCTCAGTCGATTCAAAGTGGAAGCTTGTCTTCAGGTAAACACAGAAGGTACGTTTAAAGCTGCTCCATGTATTATTAGTTATGAGACACAAAGGCTTTCGGCCACAATGTACGAGTGACGCATTGAGTGATGCTTGGGTTGACAACACATTGTTACTATGGCAACTCATAATTTACTTAGTTTATTTTATCAACAATTATTTTACGTGAGTATTGATTTCTCAGCCATTGCCGCATCGTTTCCTCCCCTACCCATCTTCCCACATATACCGCTTCATAGCCCTTGTCCCTTTATTTTTCTCTTAGCACATCACTAATATATTAATATATTTTAATACTCGTATATTATCTTGCTCCTTTGTTAAAATATGTTCCAAAAAACATAAAGTTTTGCCCTTACGTTCATTAGCATGTCTGCAACATTTATTGAGCTCAAGAATCTTCACAAATACAGTAACATTTATGCTTAGACAGTGTTCTTAGGGTCTATGCTATTTAGAAACTGTTGTGGAGTAGCAGGGATATCTGAAACTAAGTTTTCAAAAGCATTGGGTTCTGCCAAAAGATATTTTTATTGTTGTGTGACATATATTATCTACCATGACAAGCCACAGCCACCTCAGAATTGTGGCGGAAGACTGCGCGTTCAGGTCAGCTCCTCCCTCTCTCCAGACGATACTGGTGACTCTTAGACCAGTTAGCTCGTGGAGAGGTGAACCTGGCGGAGGCTCTAGCATGAAGGTGTGTAAGAGCAGTGTCTCTGGGTGTAGAAGACTGGGCTCGATGCGCAGCCATTCCTCTCACTGGTTATTATAAATATTAGAACTCACTGTAATAATATGCCAAGGATTTCCATTCTGATATTTCAAGGCATTCAACCCTTTGTCACAAAATTAAATTTATTGTGTTTAAGATTGATAGAAGTATCTATTTTGGAAAAATCTATAGCTTTGTCTTCCAATTTTCTAATGTCTTTAAGTACCTACACTTCTCTGAATATCAAAGATAAAGTGATACTGTTATAAGTAAGTCTTTACAAAGTGTTCATTTGATTTGGCTTGAATTTCCTTAAGGCCAGCCAGAGTTCCAGTGCTTGGCAAGTTTCACATAGTTCCATCCTTTTCAGTTACACCTTTGTTTACAAAGACCAGGGCAACAAAACCACAATAGTTTCACTGTCATCATAAAGACATTTTCTCAGTGGAGGTTAGCTCATTTGCCTATACTCACATGACAGTCTATTCCTCAGCTGATGGACATTTGGGTTGTTTCCAAGATTTAGCTACGACAAACTGTGCTGCTAGAAACACAGGTGCACATATATCGCTGTGGTATAATGTTTTCAATTCTTCTGGAAAAATACCCAGAAGGATCAAATGGGACCTCTAATCCTAGTTTTTTGAGGACTCTCCACACTGATTTCCATAGTAGTTATGCCAGTTTACACTCCCATCAGTAGTGGAGAAGGGTTCCTTTCTCGCCACAGCCTCACCAGCATTTGTTATTTGTTGATTTCTGGATGGTAGCCACTCTTTTGGGGTGAGATGAAATCTCAGTGTTTAATTTGCATTTCTTGTAATAGAGATTCAATGCAATCCCGATCAAAAGACCATTAGTATACCTCTCAGTTTTAGAGAAAACATTCCTAAAATTCATCTGGAAGCAGAAGAGACCTAGAATAGTAAAAGCAATCCTGGGCAACAAAGGAAAGGCAGGAGGCATCACAATCTCTGACTTGAAATTATTCTACAAAGTTACTGTGATAAAATTAGCATGGTACTGGCAAAAAAATATAAAACAGACCTGAGGATCAATGCAACAGATTAGAAGATGCAGACACAACTACAAATACACTCAGTCATCTTATCTTTGACAAAGGGGCCAAATATATTCACTTGAAGATAGATAGCCTCTTTAATAAATGGTGCTAGAAAAACTGGCATTTTCTCATGCTAAAGACTAAAACTAGACCCATGTCTATCACCATACACTGAACTAAAGTCAAAATGGATCAAAGCTTTAAATATTAAAACAGATACACTAAATCTACTGGAAGAGAAAGTAGGTAGAAATCTTGAAGACATACAGGTAGCAGACAGTTTATGAACAAAAACTAAACTGCACAGGAAATATTTCAAAAAATCAGCAACTGGGATCTCATCGTACTGAAAAGTTTTTGCACATCAAAAGAAATCACCAACAGAGTAAAGAACACCCATGAATCAGGAAAAAAGTTTAGCCAACTGTTCCTCAGACAAAGGACTTCTATCTAGGATGTATGAAGAGTTTTAAAAAGGCAGGGCCCTAAGATTCACAGACCCAATCCAAAAATATGCATCTGAGATGAACACACACATCTCAGATGAAGAAATACAAATGGCAAATAAATACATGAAAAAATGTTCAACACCATTGGTGTGTGTATGTTTTAAGGCTACATCAGACTATAAGCATCTAAGCAAATAAGGAAATAATAAAGTTCTATTAAAATTGCACTAATGGTTTTTCTTAAACATCTGACTAAAAGAAAGCCTTATCATGTTTGTAAAATGCTGCATATTACACAAGATCCACTGAATTCTACATTCAAAAAATTGATATGTCTTCAAATTTCAACATTTTTATACATCACATATTTACATTACATTAACAAACTCTGTTATAAATGAAGAACTGAATGACATAATTCTTCAACTTCATAAATAAATACATCTAAAGCCTATTAATATCATTACACAAATGATTTGAGTAAAACAATGGGGTGTTTCAAGTATTTCACATTTAAACTTTAGGAAGCTACCAATAATATTTACCTATTTCATTTAAAATATAATAATATATCTGGTTTGAGGTAAAAACAGTACACAAGTTATTATCTATTTCATAGCATGAAAGCAAATTTGTTTGCCTATATTTTCAATTTTTGAATATAATAAATATTAAAACTATTTACAAAATTTCTAATATCATAGTTAAATCCTCTGTTTTCATTTATTTGGAATGTCATTTACTAAGGAATTTATATTACCCAAACTCATTCATCAAACAATGATATCTATGGTTGTGAAAAGTCATGCTGCTTGCAGAATTATGTTTGACCATAGGTTATTCTTAAAATTATTTGAAAATAAATTCAAGTAGCACTTCTAAATTCAGATCATGTAAGCAAGTCTAAGCTTCAGTTTAGAAATTTTAGCTTCAGTTTAAAAATATTAAGTTATTCTATAGAAAAATACTTCATTTATAAGTAAAATAATTATTTCAGCAATTGAAAACTCTAGTGTCTTTTTACTATGAATAAAAAATTTTGAAAACTTACAAATGTATAATTTTACATGCTATTAAGAGTAAATTACAATTTACTATTTAGCAGCAAATATTGCATGCAGTAAGACTCTCACAAAGCTTTTAAATAAGCATTAAAATGACCAAACTGGTCAGTAAATGGCATCACTTAGCAAAAAAATTTCGACAGTAAATCACTGGGTCTGGTCTGTGCATGCTACAGCATACTATGTTCAGAATTAAAAATGAATAAAATTCAGTTACCCTAAAAGACATTTCAAGATTCTCTCCACCCCAGATATCCATTCCTGCATCGTAAGTTCCTATCTCTTCAAAGTAGTTTCTGTCAATAGAAAATAGGCCACCAGCCATAGTAGGGGTCCTAGTTGAAAAACAAAAGCAAAAAGAAAAACAAAAACGAATATCTTTTGAAACCAATGTGGAGTTTAATGAAACTGTATCAATATTTTTGACATTTTAAATATAAAAAATAATACTCAAAAAGTTCTAATTAGAAACACAAAGCCAAGGTGTAAGAGGTTTTAAAATGCAAGTTTCACTTTCATATTTTCTTTAAAACTCACTTTAGATTAGTCTATGTTTTGCTTACAGGAGAGCAACAGATACAACGGCCATTTAAAACGGGGAATTCTACCTGCCTTCTGAAAGCTTAGTGAGAAGAGGTTACTGCCTTTTGCACTGTCTTTAAACAGAGTAACTGGTTATAGAACTAGCACTTGTGGTCACATAATTACAAATCATTCTAATGTGAAGTCTAGGAACCTCATTAATTGCCTTCTCGGTGAGAAGATCCACAGACTATTTAAATACTAAAAGTATTAAATGGCATAAAGGTTTTACAGAAATATGATACTTATAAAGGTAAATTTAAACAGAAAAGCTTTATACCTCATTGCTTGTTTTTCTCTTAATGTAATGAAAAGAACGGGACTCATCATCTGACCCTATGGATAAACACAATTCCTATTCGATACTGAGAAGCTTAGAGCTATCAGTGTGGCTTCTAAAACTCTCTCCTAGGAATAAAAGCCTTTTTGGTTCTTATGTCTGAGATTTCCTCATGGGAACCAAGAACTAAGATGGTTTTACAATGATTGATTCGTATAAAAATGTCAACTAAAGGCAATTGTTAATATGGGAGCTGCACGTCTTTATAAGCAGTGTGAAATAAAGATAAAAAAGAACGTTCTAGTTGTTCACAAATAGAATCATACTGGCAACAATGTGTTTTTTGCACGTTAATTGTAATACAGTGAATTCCAGCATTTATAACATATTACCATTTGGGGGAGCAAAAAAGAAGCAGATTCATACTTGGTCCCCGCCCCCCACAGATCCGGACTTAATGTCTTTGGTGGACAATGAGTGGAACTGCACAGTCCCCGGGTGACTGTCATGCTTCACCAAGGACGAGACACACTGACCTGGTAGCCTCGCTTTGGAATGCTCACTTGAGTAGTCTGCGAGATTATTAAAGCACCAAATATTTGTTTTCTAGAAATTATATCCTCCTTTACCAATGGTTATTTTCATGCTTTCTAATTAAACAGTACAGCTTATTGAAAAAAGGACCAAACAGTGTTGTACTTGGACATCAAACATATCACAGAATTCTCTATTTCTCCCAGTGCTCTCACTGCTTTGTACTCAGGTAATTAACCGTCCATCAGTTGGAGCCCCAGAGCCTTGCTAAGTCTCAGAGCTGTGTTATTACTTCTAGTCTTGCTGGGTTTCTATCATGAACAATATCATTGACCTTCTGAGGTACAATGAGAAGCACTAACAAAGCTAAACAGATGGTAATCATGGGGTAGGCATGACCTCACCTGATTGGGGTTTTAGAACTCTATGACAATAACTATATAAGGTATTACAGGGCTGGAGAGTCTATTTAATAAAATTATGAACAAAAATTGCTGCAATTATCCTATCATAATGCAACCAAATGCCTAGTAGTGTTAAGTGATGCATTTTAATGATCAGTTCAGAGAGCATATCTATATATATGCTTACTGATGAAGTGCTAACACATTTTAATTTAAATACATGCAATATATTTCACATTATGGTTGGTAATTCTTCTAAATACTCTATGTGAGAAATAAAGACAAAATGGTGAAAAAAACCCTATATTTAACCATATGAATGACTAAAATAACTTTTATTTATTTGAAAAGTAACAAGAAACCTAAAGAAAATTTCCTCAGAAAATGCTGTATTTTCTGAAGACAGGTGCCTTTAAAAAGGAGTTTTGCTTCTGATTTCAGCTAGCTCTCTCCAATAGCTGAAGGACCATGTTTTACAACATTTAATACCTACACACCCAATGTTATGGAACATAGTCTGTCGTAAACTCATTATTCTACCGTATCTCTAGTGGACTATTTACACATCTCTGCGCACCTTAAGCACTCAGAGTATCTAGAAAATACGAAACTTTGATTAACGTTGAATTAGCTGAGAGTATTTGCTTTTTAGGGTTGTGTCTACATGGTATCAGAGCCATCGATCAAGTCAGTTTTGAAAAATAGAGTATAATCATAGCAGTGACTATTAACACTTCCTACAACGTAGGAAGTAGGTGAAGATAAATGGAATTAATGAAGTAAAGCATTGAGCTCCGTGTCCAGCACATAATAAGCCACTAATGAAGTTGGGCAATCTATGTTTGTTGTTGTTTTGACACTAATCATTCAAACCAATGCCTTGAGGCCCTTAATTTTGGATCCCAATATACATATCCTCATTTTGACTTCAAAATGGTTCAGAGCTACTTCATATCATACTCAACTGTGCTTCTCTGAATAAAACTCCCCACGCTTTAATCCCTCCCCTGCTATCAGGACTCATTTATCACCCTGCATTGCTGGTTACGGTTCCTTAGCTGATTCATATTCTCATGTTAACAACTTTTCAGGAATTTTTTTCTTCCTTCCTCCTGTCTCCTCTCCAAGGACCTGCTATGTTTATGTTTGTGGTACTGTCTTTGCTTTGTCTAGTCCAGTTCCCTTTCTGTAATTGCATGTGCCTGGGCTAACTGACCCTTTACTTCATCAACTGCCGCTGCTAAGACCCAGATAATCTCTGGCAAAGTAATAAGGTGAAGTCAGCTAGATATACTATGCCGTGCTACTACTTCCTTGCTTAATTCATAAACTTCTAACCACACTTGTAGCTGTGTTTATTGTTAAGTTGTCCTATTTTTCAAAGCATCTTTTCCAGAAGTTTTGATTCTTCTAAAAGAAAAACAAACCCTGTGGACTCCGGCCATGTGTCAATTCTAAACTCTCTTCAGCTCCAGAGCAACACACTGTGTGTGTTCTCAGTCTCCCCTTTCCTCCGGTCTCAGGAAGAGCGGAGGTCTCCCCACTTTGGGGCTCGCGCTCATCCTCGCAGCTGTGCCCTCGGCCAGTTCTCGCCTGCCGACTCTTCAGCCACCGGCTCACTGACTGCATCTACGCTCCATGCCTTTGACTTCTAGATTGCTGCCTTGAGCTTGCAAACCTGTTCAGTTCAGTTCTACTCTAAACCGAGGCGCATCTCCACTGCATCTTACTGCTCACTGAAACGAGGGCGCACGTCCCGGTGCCTGTCGCTGCTGACTGCACTGAAAGGACACCTTCTGCGCTCCCTCAACTCCTCGGACCTGCTAACCAGAGCTGGGTCCTGCTCCGACCTCCGCAATAACTTTTCCCTGAAAGGCCCTCATTGCTCCCGGACTTCAGCGGCCTTTCCTTAACTTCTCCTCTCAAAGCATGTAACACAACTCCTCAGGCACCCGCTTGAAATTCTCTTCACCGCAATACATTTTGATTCTTACCACTGCCATTTCCCGTGCTTTTCCTTGCAGGCTGTTAGGAAATGATCGAGCTTATTTTTACATCCTCGGTGTGAGTTCATTGTGCCACACTAAAATTTTTTGTGGATACATTCACCCAAGAATTCTCTATTCCTGTGGTCTTTCTTTTGTGAGATAACTAGTCCTGTGCCACTAGCTGCTACCTCTGTGAGCTGGCCCTCGGCTGGTGTTTTCTCACTCACCTCCATTATTTGGGCTTTGCTAGTAACTCTCTCTGTTTCCTTCGGCACGCACCACCCCGCTAGTGCGTTATTTATAATGCCCGGTAACACGATTTCTAGACTGTTAGTGTTTAGGTCTTTTTTAATTATACATCTCAAATATTATAAATTATAATGAATAAATCATAAGAATGAATATTTAATTATTTACACAAATATGAGGTAAGAGGAGTTAAAATATCCATATACTTGTGCTATTTTTAAAATAACAAAATACAATTTCTTCATTTGGTTGAGCATTTAACAAATTTAGAAACCAAAGAGAAACTAAATGTGTGAATTTATTTTCTATTTTCTTTAACCTTCTACTGTACCCAGCATAGAAAGCAGAGAAGAGAGAAGGAAGCAGACACAAACTTTTTTTATGAGTAATGAATGTCTAACCTTGAGCACAATTAATGATTTTCTTAGTTAAAAATGGAAAGTATGATGGAGTTTTGCCCACTAGGACAGTCATTTAAACATATGTTTGGGTACGAAAATGCAGTTTTCTGTACAGAAGAGATTGTTATTTTTAAGTGTTCATGCTTTACACTTTGAGTAAGGAAATTTACTCAGATCCTTAGAGTTTATGAATGTGAACAATTTCAGTGCGGTTTTTAAAGGATAAAATAATATATAAATCTCTCCTTAACACAGGAAAGAGAACTGTTTTGCTTCCTCAGAACCCATTTATCATAAATTTGGAAATAAAATGTACCTTCACTTGTGCTTAAAGACCTTTTTCCTAATCAAGGAAATCAACTTCCTGTCTGAGTTGTTTTTATAACCCTCACAACCTGATAAAACCGTAAGCTCTCGCCGTGACCCTCTGTAGTTGATGCAAATTTCAAGCTTCCCTCATGTCTTCATCTCACACTTGTAACAGGTCAAGAAACAAGCAGGGCTAGCGGAAATCAGGTGCATTGAAATGATTCGGTCAACATGGCAACATACAGTGAAACTAAATGTGATACCAAAATAATCATGTAAATGTGACACTGAATTCACCACCCTGGAAACTTTTTATAAGTTTGGTACACGGTTTAAGGTTTTAAAATGGATTTTGTATAGGATAAGTTAAATTTCATTCTTTTAACCAATATGAATGTATTTCTGTAAGCATGGTTCTGTTGAAATGAAGTTGTAAAAAGCAAAAAAATTTTCTATCCGATCCCTGTTTTATTCTCACCTCAACAGACAGCAAAGAAAGTCTTGTAAAATGCTCTCCAGAAGATTGGAAACAATGTACTATTAAAGTGCTGTTCTAAATATCAAATCAAAGATTGATGAAATACTTTTCATCTCGTAAAATTAATATATGTTAGATTTTAACATGAAGATGCAAAAATGTTGAAAAGTTGAACATTCAAAGTCAACTCTTTCAGAGCACTTCTCATAATGTGGACATTTCACTGAACTGTTGTTTTAATATATCTTATTGTATACAAGCGTGTCAACACTTTGCTAGCATCTATGTCTGCTTCTTTTTTGAAATCTAAAAGGATATTTGAGTCATATCATGAAAAGTCCAATGGAAAAAAATAACATAAAGTAAGAAATAATTGGTTGCTAGTAAATATAAGAAATTGTCATTATATAAGCTTTTTGCAGAAAAAATATGTGTTTTTTCATTTATTATACTTAGTAGAGAAATTATACATTGGAGTCAGCACTGATTTTTTAGAGAAAGCAGCATTCCAGCCTTCATAGGAGATAAGAATGCCAAAATAAATGTCATATGCTTCAAATACATAATTCTCAGAGATATTGATAAGTGTAGGTAAAGAATGAATAATTTATAAAAATAGATTATAAATTAAGCTTAACTAACATGGACTACAAAAAACAGGAGAAGAGTTTCACAAGTAGGAGAGACATTAATAACCATAGAAAAATTCTAATGATATATCAAAATGCAAGCTATGGAAAATACATCTGGAGAGAAATACTCTGGAAAAAAAATAACAAAATACTAAAGCCTTTTTATGATTTTAGAAACTTATCACTTTTATTTTGGAATGATACGTGCTCCTTTATGGAGAAAACAATTAGTTAATTCTTGCCCAATATATTTATTTACCATTTCACAGTAGTTTATAAGCTAAACAAGGCAGGGAGAATAATTTTCCATCCTATAATTAAGAAAGTATGTAGCTCATCAAGTGGGGGATCTTGAAATAAAATACTACTGACACAAAACCGGCTAAATTGCTTCGTCTATACTACCCCTGAAGGGTACCAGAGATAGTGTATGTGAGTATTCTAAACTTTTCATGACACGAAGGCACACCAGTCACAATCCAAGAGGTAGACAGTGTTAATTTATTTGGTATCTATTTTATTTGAAATCTATTTCAATCAGTAATGAGTTAAAGTGGAAACAAATACATGATGACTTATTGAGGGTCACTTACAAGGAATAATTAGAGACTACTGCGAGCAGTGGGACTTAAGCCAGAAACACGCACCGCAGCAGCACAGCTCGCTCCTGTGCACCCACACCCGCTTCATGTATTTTCCCCTTTCTCGCACGAACCACGAACAACCAATTCCGGATGCTGAGCAATTTTACAGTAAGGGTTGCTTTATTCATTTTTGTATTGCAGAACCTATGACCTTGCTCATCAAGATGTGTGCATGTACATTTGCATATGGAATCACATTAATCATAATAGTCTACCAAAATCACCTCAGATTTGTATGTGTACATGTACAAATTAATTAAATGATTTCAAAGGTCATATGCATTATTGAGTAATTCTGGTACTAGTTGCCTATTCTCTTAGGTAATATTTATGCATATACATGCAGGGTTAATTTATTTGAAGAGAGTCAAACTTAGCTATGAGGAGTAGCTTCTAAGTCAACAGTCACAAATTTAAGGTTAAAACCAGGCTAAAAGTTAATTATCAGAAGTCAATTGGTTGCAATAAATTTATTCCTCTCACCTTTGTTTGAAATATAGGTGCCAAGAAATACTTCTCCAAGTACAAGAATAATGGCAAATGGCAACTAACCACTTGGTTCAGAGTCAGAGACGAACTCATAGGGGTTATAAGAACCTGGGCAAAGCTTTCTTATGACACCTGCGTGAGTTTTTTCTACTCCACTACAGCTGATGGTGCCAGGTGGAAATACCGCGACACTGGACCAAGATATTTTGCTTTTCAGTAGCTGGAAATCCAGATTTTTAATGAAAACAGCTAATTTAAAAATTTTTGTAATTTTTGAAAATACAAAATATATACTATCTATGCCAAATAAAACAAATCTGGAGAGCACATTTCAGACATAATCTTCTGATTATGATCTCAGGGTTAACAATTTGATTTCTATGATGTATTTATGAAAAGTCATGTAATTTGACTACTGATGTGTCAAAAGACTGATTAAAGAAAATTAAATATTCAAGATTAGTATACAACTATTCTATATTCACAAACCCCATTTCATGAACTTCATTTATTATGAAAAAGAAAATACCAAAGCCGAGAGCTTGACAATGTAATAATAAGGATAACCTTTATAAGCTGGGCTTTACATGCGGTGCACCTGACCTAGGTCACATGTTCAAGTTGGTACTCTGTATTTGCAGATGTATGATTCTAGTTCTAAATTATGACTAACCAATTATACTGACTAAAAAATTCTGTCGAAAGTGACATTTTAAATGAAGCATTCCAGTAAGAAAACTAAAAATTTCAGCCTAATTTTAACCACTTTTGCTATTCAAAATTCCGTTAATCAAGTAGGGAAAATGTCTTCAACACCTAGAATGATTTATCTGTTTGTATGAATGTGAGAAAAATGATCACATCTTCAAGTAATAGATTACAAGTACAAGGAAAGTTCACATTACAGCTATGCTGATGAAAATTACCTGTAGGCTGTTACAACAGAGCTGGTGAATTAATTAACCTTTTGCCATAAAAATTTAGAAACTTCAGCAGAGACTGGGGTTTCTCATTTCCCTTGTTCTAATTTCTTCAGTATGTTAGAAAATAAAATGATGTGCAGATAGCGAGGTTAATAAATAAAATATTCTGAGGTTTTAATCTTCCCTATGTTACTTTAATAAAACCACGCAAATTATGATTAAAATGTAGAAATTAGATGAGTCATCTCTTATTTCAGTTAAAGATGAATAATACCAGTTGATTTCTATGTAGATTTGTCTTTGACAAATGAGATAAATTTCCCACTGTGAATGAAGGCTGTTTGAATTATTTTTCAACTCTCTAAAACAATTGGAGTTGAATAAAATATGTCTTTTTCCAATGCGTTTTTAAAAAATAATCACAAATATGCATTCTTATAAACTTCATTTTTAAATGAATAGGCACATTATCTATATTTAAGTGCCCTGGTCAAGCATTTTGATAGTTTTTAACCTAGATTTTGAAGCTTAAATATCAGTAACACTAAATGAAGGCAGGAAGTAGAAAAAAATTTAATGACAGCATTATAAGTCACTGTGTTTCCTCAGTGGAAAAGATTAACAGAACTTGGTAAAAAGGAAAATTGTACAATATTTTAAAATTGCTACATTGTGCTTTAAATATTAACATTGCAATTTATTCTGTCTGTAGGCTGTGTTAGAAGCAATATTTCACTTCCTCTACGTGGCAGTGATATCTCCTTGACAGCCTTTAATACTTAATTGTTCACTAACAATTAGGGCTGTTTTCTTCCACTAACTAGTTTTTAAATTTATTTTTAAATAATCCATTATTTAAGTAGTTAACAATGGGTAAATTATATCCTCAGTTGGTTACTGAACATTCTTGTTTAGATAGTGGATTACATGCAAATTGTTTTAGAATCTTAGGGTATGTCCCTGTTCCAACAGAATGATTCACTGTATTCACCTTCAAAGAGCTGAACTATTGAATATGTTCCAAAATATTTTTAGGAATTCAATTTTGGTAGCAGGTAAGATGTCTACAATAATGTACCAAAGTAAGAATAGGATATTTTATTTTTATAGAGTGAATAATGCTTATGTAGACAAAGATACATATTTTTTATTAAGGGTAAGTTATTTTATTAATAAATATTTCAAAATAAATAGCTATTTAAAATAATTTCAAACAAACAGTAAAATGTTTATAACTACTAATATATAAAACAATTTCCAAATGAATCCTTCTATTATGTATAAAGAAAGATAGTATTCTTTTGAGACAGGGTCTTACTACATAGTTCAGGCTGGCCTTGAACTCATCATGTAACTCAGGCTGGCCTCAAACTTGTGGGGATCCTCCTGCCTCAGCCTCCTGAGTGCTAGGGTTACAGGCATAAGCCTCCATGCCCATCCAGGAATATAGTTCTTTGAAGTTGATAAAATAAGAATATATTCCAAAACACTTTCTGCTATTTCAGTTTTGAGAGTAGTTCTGCTATAAAGCACACACTTTCAGCTAAGGTGTATGTTTACTTGATGCAACAAGGCTAGCACATTCCTGTCAAATGGAAAGCTCGTAATTCATGCACTTTGAATATGTAATCTATAAAGCTTGAGAAGATACTAGGGATTTTTATCAATATTTAGCTTTTCTTATGTTAATTTCAACTGGATTTAATATAGCTATTTATTACTACATGTATATATAAGTGATAGTATATAACACATATATAATAAGTATGACTTGAAGTAATTCAAAATTCCTTAATTATCATAGGAATGCATGCCACTCTTTGGAGACATGACCTACATACCTGACAGGTAGTGTTCTGTCCCCTTTCCTCCTGTCCATCTCTCTCTGTGGAACAGGGTACCAGCGGAAGTTCAGCTTCCAGTTAAAACCCCCGTACGTCATGTCCGACCCAGCCATATATTCAAAGGTATCATCACTAATCACATCAATGATAGGGCATACAACTGTTTTCCTGTAGAAAAATTGAAACCAGTTTACATATAATGAACATTTATTGTAACCCTAGCTCCTTCAAATTGAGTATAGCTGGTATTATAAAAGTTAATTTTTTGGTGTTTTAAAATGACTTCAATTTTACTTAACCATTTTTCTCTATAAAATTATTTCATTTGACTATAACTTCCATACCTTCTCCTTATTCTAAGATGTGAAATCGAATCAAATATACTAATTGACCTTCAAGCTGATTTTCAAATGCACTGTAAGTACTAACTCGGTAGGATGAGCATAGCTTATTTTTCATAACACCTCCACCCCCAGCATGATTAGTAGAGCTGCCTTGAATTATGCATCTTTTCACTACAACCCACTGAAAAGCAATAACATGCACAGAGGGGAGAATAGATGACAATTAGATCTGATAGTCTGCACTTCAAATAGGGCAGGTTAGCTCAAAGGGAGAGTTCCAAGAATATCTTCATGAAAAAAAAATCCTACTAGAATAAAGAACAGGAACAATTAAAACTATGACCTATAAGTGTAAGTAAATGTGTTCTTTGAAAATAATTGAGCTGTGACAGTTTCTGAATTGAGCTGTTCTAGAATTAGGAGTTGACAGTTGTCACAATCCAGACAGTACTGGAAAACAGGGCAACACGATCAGCTTAGGATTCTGATGTTTATTCTGCTTTTTCCTAAAGAAGAGGAAATGCAGGAGGCTTAATGTTCCTGAGAGCATCTTGGCAGGGTGCGGAAACCTCACTCGGGTATCATTAGGCGCTCTTTCATCCACGAAGTGCTGTCCCTCTTTTCCCTTGTTCTCAGCTTATGTGTTTTTCTGTAGGCCCAGCCTGCTCCCATCGCCTCACGTAAAGGCTCAAGTCTACCCAAGACTGCATTGATTGTACTTAATTTTGAAGAACTAGAGCTTGTTTTTCATAGATGGCAGGAGGTAAATACAATAATAGGCTCCCACATCACGTGCACATTTGGAAAGAGGTGCTGACTGTTATTTCTGCTTTTTTAACGCTAGAGTCATCAATGGTCACCGTTAACTGTATTTCACGTTAAACACGTTCGGCCAGAGCCCGAGCTTCTCTGGGACCAGCGGGCTTCATCTAGGCTCGGAAAGGTTTCTTGGTGTCTCTGGACCCAGCAACAATATTGTCTCTTTTCATTAGATTTAATAATTTAACTTGTGGGGTAAGGAAATTAGATCTTATAACCTTGGACAGAATTTATTATCTATTTATAACAATGCTAGAATTTATCAGAGACAAGGGGTGAGAGTTTATAACTTATAAACATAATGCATGCACATTTTAGAATAAATAATAAGCACCGTATACATGATCATAATAAAACTTTATATTAAAAACTGAGCTAAATGTGACACATACTTTGTAAAAGCAGCACAATGTACAAAACGTTGCCAGAAAATGCATTGAAGATGTTCTGTCTCCTTTGCCAATCTTATTCTTCTGTGGGTACTGTACAATACCCCAAACGCCATTAGCTGTGTACTATACTTAACTGAAGAAATGATTTCCACTTCTCTCTTGAACTGCTGCGGTTCACTGTACTGACCAGCCTCCACTCACCTTCCTGGCAAGTACCACATTCTGCCGAAGGAGCGCAGAGTAAGCAGTCCCTGCCTTGAGTGTCTAGTTAGGAACTCCAATTCTACACAGACTCATCGACTGAACAAGAAATAACTATGTAAGCAAAGTAATACTTTGCTACTACAGCGGACAACATTCCATTTTAGTTATTTTCATTAGGTGCTTGGAAATGATACTCATTACCCCCACTGTTTATGGATGTTTGCAGAAAAGCCTGTGCTCCACTGCATCATCATCATCAGACAGAATTGTACTTCTGTTCCAGGATTCTTCATTTCTACAGAGTGTTATTCAACCTTTCAAAGTTCATAATTTGTAGGTAGAAAGTGGAAATGTTGCTTAAATAATTAAACTTACAGCTGTGCTGTTTGCTTGTTTTCCTAATCATGATTTCATTTCAGTGGGGAGTGTGTGTGTGCGTGTTTATTTTTAAGATTCTCAAGGTGAATTTGAACCATACTCTGAGTACAAGCACTGAGGTAATAAAAAGAACACTGGTGAGCGGGTAGGAAGAACTGGACTACTGTTCCCAGCACTTCCAGTAACTGGGCCAAGGTGTATAATTTCTTTGCTTCTCCCTATTATTAAGTGTAGAGAAGAACATCTGCATTACCAACTCAAAGTAGGGTTGTGAGGACAAAAAATTGCTTGGAAAATGTGCTCTTATAAATGTATTTCAGACTGGATTAATTTCCTCTACCTAGAAGCCAATATTCAACATACTTTTATTGTTTAAATTATTTCATTATTTCTTAATCAAAAACATGTTCAACATGATGAAGCCAATCCTTGCGTACTGAAACGGCCTTTCACAGAAACCTACGAAATAAACCTGAAAACAGCACTTGGAAGAGGAATTCTGATAGACAGCTGGAATCGCCTGACAGGTCCAGCCCTGACCCATGCCGAAGTAACGCGGGAACTTCTACCTGTCTTCCTTGATTCTCGCCAGCAAAGGCTCCAGCCATCCTAACGTGCATTCACAGTGGGCGTCCAAGAAAGTTATGACCTGCCCTTTCGAAGCAGCTGCTCCTCGAAGACGGGCACGGATTAACCCCGAGCGCTCTTCCATCCGGATAATTCTGACCGGGACTTCTAAATTCTTCACGTAATTCTCTAAGGTCAACTTGAGAAAATCTGTAACATGCAATAAGAATTTTCAAGAAAATTTCAAAACTGTTTTAAGACAGACTGGCTACCTCCATGACCAAAATTCAACATCCAGAAATTGTGGTCAACTCCTAACACAATTTTTTCATTAGGTAAGATAAAAGAATACCAATTAGATCAGTTGACTAATGTCTCACATCCAGTCATATAAGTTCTACATGTGATCAGCTGGATTGGAAAAAGAAAGAAAACGTTTTGTAAGTCATCTTGAGGTAGTTAGAGTCAAAGAACATAAAGACAACCGAAAGAATTAGCTACTTGTTCTCGGGGTTGACCCTGACAAGGCATACTGACAAAAATCTGATGGATGGTTGACTGAAAGCAAAACACAAATCACTGTACCGACTTTTAACTGTAATAAAGGATTCTCATCAAAAAATGCAAGAAACATGTTTCATACCTCTCTCACTGGCGTCATCTACCAAGATGACCTCAGAGAGCAGGTAGTGTGGGGAACGGTTTATGACACTGTACACAGTGCGAAGGAGCGTGCTCCACGCCTCGTTGTGAAACACGATGACCACACTCGTGTTCGGAAGCTCATCGGGGTAGACTTTCGTCTTGCATCTGAGAAACAGAAGAGAAGGAAAACCCTAAGAAAGTTATTTTTCATCCTACTCATCAAAAGAAGAAATATCCATAATACTACAAATTCCGTCTTGAAAGACTGCACTGAGGAAATGTTTTATCTAAAATCATTTTCTTTCTTATAAGTGCTCTGATTAATCATTTGGCCTTTTGAAAATTAAATATGTGTAATTCTCATATTTTAACTCCAACAGGGAATAAAGCAGCATGATTTCTACAAGCCTAAGAGAATCTAAGAATGCTAAATAACATCCTGAGACTGTCAGTAAAAGCTAGGTACCACAGGGACAGATGAAGTCATTTAATAGATGTAATTTTATTTTTTGTTTAGAAAAAACAATTATCATGTAACTCAAAATGTCATAAGTACAGAGTTACATATGAGTATACACCGCTTTGAGGTTGCAAAACAGATCTTGTTATGTATGATTTTCGTTCTACTTGAATGGTGTAAGTCATGGTGCTTTCAGAAAAAGGTTTAGGAGCCAGGGTCCTGGCCTTGAAATTTCCTGATTTTCTGAATATCAGCAAAGGAAATGGGCTTCCAGCACTTCTCAAAATATGATATACATGGACACCATCTTAAGATTTATTAAAACTCAGATTTTAATTTTAGGATATAGGATGGAGCCTGAGATTTTGTATTTTTAAATCTCTCAGAACATTAGGATCCTTTCATCTCAGAATCCCACTTGTTAGGAAGGAAATAGATCTGTCATTACAATTAGGACTTCCCATTACAAGAAAAACTTTCACCTTTATTTGTACATCCAAAGAAGTCCAGATTTCACCTTTTAAGCAATCAATCCAAAAAGGTATGTTTGGGTAAGTAATATGTGCAGTGTTCTAGGTGGTTCACCAAATTTAACATGCAGCTGGCCGTTTCCCCTGTCAACTTGTCAACATTCCTACAGTTTTGTCATGAAATTTTAAATCATTATGATTATATACTACAAAATACCACAGGGCATCTGGAGCAGTAACAGAAGTTAATTCTCGAGGCTATTTTTAATGTAAAATATTCAAAAAGTAAATTAAAATAATTCCATAAAATTAAATGCACCAGACACCTCCTGGCCCTCATGAGGACCTCGTGCAAACACAACGGACTTTGTTAAAGGTAGCTTCTTATGAAAGAGTGGAAACAACGTCCAATAGAAGGTCGGATGTGAAAGCACATAACCAAAATGGACTGTGCGGCTGTTGAGATCTTTATCATTTTTAAAAGAGCCTAAAATGTCGTATGAAATCTTATTATATGCAGATAAGAATGTACGTATTGTAAACTATAACTCTGCTCAGCACATAGTTCTTTGAAAAATTCATTAAGCATCCGTAATACAAAGTTACCTCACATGAAAGAAAATAAAAATGTCCAGGGGTGAGAAAAGCAGTTGCAATCACAGCTATCTATTCCCGCGCTGGCGGAAAATTCAAATACTCCCACGCGCTTCACTATCACTGCACTCGAATCTCTGGGCGGCCCATCATTATTTAACCCAAGATAGCCATGTCGGTAAGTGGGAAAGTTTCACTCCACTATTTTATTCACTGCTCCACTCTGCTTCCTTGTTAAATATCCCGTCACTTTCGTCATGCCAAGCACAAACTATGTCTGATAAAGGTAGTCATTACCATCAATGAGGAAGTAATTTGGAAAAATAGGATGAAGGCAATCCAGCAGTCAACAAACGCTGGATTAACCCAGGACTTTCTTGCTCAGCATCATTTGGAAAAACAGCGATTATTTTAAATCATAGGTTTATATTTGATACACTGGATGCCAGCAAAGAAAATATAGATGAGATATAAATTTAAATAAATTTTTAAAATATTAAACTAAAAACAAGTATTTAGGCCTTGCATCTTTAAGACGGTTTAACCACTTTGTAACCATTCTTTCAAGCTTTATTTTTGTGGTTACAAAATTCTTTCACAAATGTTAACTTTATATTCATTATATGTGTCAGTGTTATAATGAACTAATTTACCACTGATGCAGCCATTGTGTTTGCTTAGAGCAAATTTCCACTGTCATTTTTTAATGAAGCATCAAAGTAAAAATGTCTAATATGTTTATTAACTCTTCTTCTTACATAAACAGTCATTCTTCAAGGGAAACAAAACTTTAGTTATACTGGATGAATACTTTTTAGTGACCTAATGTACAGCAAGGTGATTATAATCAATACTGTACCACATATTTGAACTGTGCTAAAATAACTGATTACAAGTCATCTCACCACACACAAAAGAACACAATACTATGAGGAGACAGATATTTTAATTAGCTTGCTTTTGATAATCATTTCACCATGTTTATGCATATAAAATGTCAAGTTTTACACCTTAAATATATACAATTTTTCTTTGTCAAGTATACCTCAATGAAGTTGAAAATTGTCAGTAAGAAATGAGGTACTACTAAATTAAGTAATTCTTAAATTATACAAATTAAACATTTTTATTCATTTCATCCAGTTATCTCAAATGCAGAGATCTGAATGAACAAGAGTCATGATTTTCATCATTTCTAGTGAGTTTGTGACATATTGAACTGGTATCTTTGTTTATATTTCATCAAATTCACTGCTTCATGTATAGTAAGATACACTATAATTTTATGTACAACAAAGAAAAAATGTTTTCAAATAAAGTAAAGCATACTATTCTTATCACTAGAATATTTTTATTACTTTGATTTTATAGAAAAAGATTTTCCAATTATTTGGACAAAGATTTGTCATGCTTAATTTATGAGTAAGCCCAATGAAATTCCTATTAAGTTGAAGTTTCTTTCACCTCTTCTATGAAGTTTCCTGCAGCTTTGATTTTGTATTGTTTACCATGGAAGAGCCAAACAATTAGCTCTTATTTAGTATCAAAACATAAAACAATTTGTTTTATTAGTATCTTCCTTGGTACTGTGAAGTTTTTGTTGTATTTTATTTCTGTTTGTTTTGTGGTGCTAAGGATGGAACTCAGGGCCCTATGCATGTTAGGAAAGCACTCTAACACAAATTATGCCCTCAGGTCTGAAGGCTTCATTTTTTTTAAATAAACTTTATACAAAGCATGCTTAAATTTCATGGTACAAATAACTTATACAAAGTGTCTAGGTTTTAGGGCTTGGGAGATACTTCAGTGGCAAAGCACCTGCCTGTCAAGAGCAAGGTCCTGAGTTTGATTCCCATTACTGATAAAATAAAATAAAATAAAATCTAGGTTTTGATTTCATGAGTGTAGAATGAATGTGAGATTCTGTGTTTCTAATGAGATTTGTGCAAATGCCCACATTGTCCATGCTTTAAATAATAAAAAACTCTATATAAATCATTCATTATCCTCTGTGTTAGTTACTTTTCTCAGTGCTGAGACCAAATATCAGACACTCAAAGTTAAAAGTTTATTTAGTTCACAGTTAGTCCATAATCAGCTGGCTCCCAGACAGGGTGGAATGACAGACAGGCACTGGGGAGGAGAAACAGTTCACGGCTGTCGGAAGATAGCAAAGCCATCAAAGGACGAGCACAGCTCTTTCTATTCTTTATGTCTCATCCAGGTAGCACTCACACCCTTAATCTTAGCGTCCCTGATCCTCGCATTGCACCATAAGTCAATTCCAGCATCACACACTCTAGATCCAGCCACCTCTGAAAAAGCCCCAGCTATGACTCCACGAGGCTTTGGGAGAACATCTAGACACCGCCATAACATTCTGCCATCAGACCCCCAAAGACTCATGCGCATCTTTTCATGCAAAAGCCATCTAGTCCATCTTTAAGATCAGTCAAATTCCTAAGTTTCAGTACAAATGAAAAGGAAGTTAAAGGCTTCCAGCATTCAATGGCACAAGATAGATATTATCATTCCAAAAGGTACAAATAAGGGGACACAAAGGAGTGGGACCAAGTAGAGTCCAAAATCCAGCAGGGCAAGCATTAAGTCCTGTAGTTCCATATGCAACATCCGAGGCAATCTGTGGCAATTTGTGAGCTCCAAAGGGCCTGCGTAGCTCTGCCCCTACAGCACTTCTGGTGGGAGTAGCTCCCATGGCTTCTCTCTTAGGCCTGCATTGCTCCCTCCTTGAGCTTTCCTTAGATGACACACCGTCCTGGCTTTTCAAATCTTCTGGGGTCTCCACTGCACCTCTGGCTTCACCATCACAGCCTCACACACTGCCCTCTCTGGAGCACACTGCCTGGCCTTCCGGGGCTTCTGAAATCTGGCTGGAAGCCTTCTTAATCCCGTAACTCTTGCATTCTGCATGTGCCTAAAACCAGCACCACGTGGATGATGCCATGATCTGTTGCCAGCGGTAGCAGTGAGCAGGCTTCCTTCTCCCTCGGCGGTAGGGATCGAGTGCCCGTGAACTAAATCCCAGACTGCTGCCCCTCCCGCACACAGTGCTGTGGGGCTCTTTTCCCAAGTGGAATTGCAGTCATTGCTCCTACAGGGTATTGCTCTTCCAAATAAAATTTAACTTAACTGCTATTTCTTGACTTTCTTCTAGATAAAAACTTTTTTTAAGATTAAATCACAAAGTAGTGTTTTTTTCACCTGAGAAAAACCCTTGACCTCCATATTGTAAGATTTTTTGCCTTTGTTTATTGGTTGTGTAGGTTTTGTTTTTGCTTTTTTATTTTTAGCTAACACACAAAAATATAAAAATTTTACATCCTAATGGAGAACTCTGTAATTTTGATACATATTACATAATATTTAAATCAGGTTAGATGTATCTATGGCCTCAAACCTTCACCATTTCTTCAGGATGAAAACTTTCAATATCCTTTCCACTAGGATTTAAAATATAACTGTTTTCTATATTCAATGCAGTTATGTTGCAATAGTACCCCGCAGCTTCTTGCTCCTGTCTAGCTGTAGATTCATCTTGCTTCACCTATTCATCTTGCTCCTCCATCCAGCACCACCACCTGCTTGCTGCAGCCTCTGGTACACTGAGCTTCTTAAGACCA